GTCCCGGGACCTTCACTATGGCTCTAGCCACAAAAGTAGGCTGCCACGATGAACAAAAATGAATGAAGGAGTTTCGGTGGAGAGATTTGTTTGTTTTTATTGTTTTTAAACGGGGCCTCTTTATGTAACTCTGGCTGCCCTGGGACTCACTCTATAGACTATGCTGGCCTGTGACCTCACAGAGATCTGCCTGCCTCTGCCTCTGGGTTTAAAGGTGTGTGATACCATGCCCAGCCTGGTGGAGGTTTTATATCTCCATCTTTCTTGGCTCAGGATAAGGTGGCAGCTAGGCCATCTACCTTCCCTACTCTTAGGCCTTGCTTTGCACTTCCTTTTAATGATAAAATCCCTCTGGTGAAGCCTCTGGAGGCACACATGATTACCAGGAGACTGCCTCCTGCAAAAGCCACTTGTGCTGTGCTCTGAGGACCTCTTTGCAGCCTCTAAGATGAGAAGTGTGTGTGTGTGTGTGTGTGTGTGTGTGTGTGTGTATGTGTTCTTCTCCTGAATGATAGACCCACCCATCTGCTCTCATCTCTGCTCACAGTCACCTAAGATGAGCTTGGCCTTTTCCTGAGGGAGAACCCTGATGAACAGCAGCATTCTATCTATTTTGAAACTCTGCTCTTTGGCTCTAAGTTTCCCCTAAGGCTAAGGTGGTTTTCAATGTATTCACAGTGGGACTTGACGTTGTATAATCCTGTGTCTCTATGCTGCTTCTACACGTTCTGACATACTGTTCCACCAAAGGATAACAACCCTGAGTCTAAAGAGTAGCCGATCTAAGCTGGTCATGGTAGCACATGTCTGTAATTCCAACACTTCAGAGTCCGAGGCAAAAGATAGTTTTAGGCCAACCTCAGTCACTTGACAAGCTCCTGTCTCAAAAAAAATTAATTATCTTAAATTCCAGTTATAAAACAAGACCATATATTTCTTTGCTAAAATTCAGCTACTTAAGACTCCTTCTGACGCATCTCAGTTATATCTACCTACTGAACAGATATTTCCGAGAACATATATGAAGGCTAGCGTATGCATGAGAAGGTGCTCTATGTCATTAGCCATGTTAAAGCAAGTTAGTTAAGACCTCCGTGCTTCATCCCTCAGCATATCCCTCAATGTTCTATCCATCAATAAAGAGAACTGATGATGGGGGCTAGAGATGGCTCAGAGGTTAAGAGCACTGGCTGCTCTTCCAGAGGTCCTGAGTTCAATTCCCAGCAATCACATGGTGGCTCACAACCATCTATAATGAGATCTGGCGCCCTCCTCTGGCATGCAGGCATACATACAGGCAGAACACTATGTACATAATAAATCTAAAAAAATATATACTTAATATTGTGAATGAGTGGATGTGGCCACTTAAAATTGCACTTTGACATTTATATATAATTATATATACAATATAATTGTATGTTATATAATTAAATATGCATATAAATATCTTCATATATGTCAATATATATATATATAATTAAGTATACATTCCTCCTACATCCTCACATTAATTTTAGTCCCAGGTATGTGTGTGAAAAAAATCATTTGACTACACAATGGTTATTTATAGAAGTTTGATTCAGAACAGCCCTAGACTAGAAACAACAAAACTTCACATTAAATGTTAATAAGTAAACTAGTTGTGACATACCCATATAGTGACAGAATACACAGCCATCATGTTGACTATTGGGAAGTACCACAGGGATGAGTCACAAAGGAGTTACACTAAGTGAAAAACCAGACACAAAAGGCTGCATATCGTATGATCCCTTGCATACGGTACTCAAGAGAAAGCAAATCTGTGGTGACAGAAATCCCATCAGCAGCCCTCGGAGTAGGGAGCAGAGGGAGGGAACGAAGGTAGGTAGAGGGCGCAGGGGAACTTTTGGGAATGGTAAAGCTAGTTCTGCATGTTGATGGTGTCGGGTGGCTGCACAGTTGGAAACATTTGTTAAAACTCATCAAATTGCACACTAGAAAATATTTGCTTGTGACAACTATTCATAAATAAAGCTGGTTACAGAACCTAGCTACAGCACATGGCTTTTCTTTGTATATAGGATACTGCAAACCAGCATTTTTACAAGCATAAAGGATCTCAGACTTAGGGTCCATGCACGTCATTTCATGGATGGAACTCAGTACTGTCTCACTTCCTATCCCCACAGGCATCCTCTCGGTACGTAGGTGCTGCTTTTATCCCCTGCCACCATCTGAATGTAGAACCAGGGCATGTCACGAGTATTACAGAATCCAAATAGGGAGCTGGCTATATTCTGCCATGTTTGAAGTAGATTAGGGGACAGGGCAGGGAGAAAGCATGAGGTCTCTGAGCTCCCTAGAGAGACAGCCTTGAGAACAGGGAACAAGGCAAGGAGAAAGACGTCTGAAGCAGACTGAAATCGAATAAAGGCAATGTAGAGAATTCGGTTTCAGAGAGACACTTCGGCAGACTTAGGCAGAGGTCAGATGTGAGATTATGAAAGAGAACCGTGTTCAAAGAACACCCCCGAGCAAAGCCTTAGGACAGAACCTCCTGAACACAAGATATCTGGCTTCTCACATCTCCTGCAGTTTTTCAATGAATGGAAAGTTCCGTAAGCACAAGGCTTGTAAGAACATTTCTGCATCATTAAAGCAAGTGTTCTGTAGCATAGACAAATGTAACACATATTAAAATAATATTCCACATGTCCCTCTTTTTGTCTAAATAAAAAAGAAAGATTTTGACTTTGACATAGTAAAACTAAATAAACAAAAACAGTTATCAAGTAAGAATTACATTTACTATATTAAGTCCATTTGTATGTAGCAAATTCAGCGAAAATATCATTCATCTCATCTTAGTGACTCCAAGATTTTATATCTAATTTACTTTCTATCATAATTAAGAAAACTGCAATTGTAACTATCTAGTTTTCAACTCCATCCAAGATCCCAGAAAGACAAAATATTATCTGAGTAAACAGGAAGTGCAGTACAAGCAACTTTCAAAACTCTAGAAATGACAGAGACATCTGGCTGCCTGGACAGTCACCCAAAGTTCCTCTATAATGTTGGGGCATCCATTTTTAGCCTATAGGCCTAGAGCATCTCGCAGACTTTTCAGTGAAGCAGGAAATTTGAAGGATTCTCCGACCTTGTATTGGCAAAGTTCATCAGTCGCTTTCCTCTGTGTCCTGTAGAAGCAGACTCTTCTCTGAAGCAGGAATCTCAAAAGACTCTTCTGCCTTGTTTTGGCAAAGTTCAGCAGTCACGTTCTTGTGGGTTCTGTGTGTCCAGTCTTCACATAGTCAAGCAGTCAAGGCAAAAGCAGTTTCTTGACCAAATGGCTAATTTTTGTCACAATGAAAGCAAACTCCCATGGTGTTTCTTCGATGTCCATCATCCTTTTATAAAGTATATTGGTACTGTCAGGACCAGATGCGTCTCATTGCTATGAAAACCCTTAGGTGCCATTTTCTGTAAGTCTTTGACGTATTTAAAAATAATCTATCTAAAATATACCTATTGAACCTTGGAAACATACCTAATGTGACTACAAGCTTGATCATTATAGATTAACTACTAGTCTCATTTCTTAATTACACATTGCATTTTTAAATGAGCTGCATAAGCACAATACCCCAAACAAGAGTAGAAACATGTAATTGTAGCAAATTTAACTTTAAATTTGTATCAATATTCCAAAATCCATGCCAATGCAAGATATTTGAGCTCAATAGTTGTCTTTCTATCCTATATTTTTATATTCCCCTAAATTATAACAAACATCCATAACCCACCAAATAACCAACAGTCACCCACACCATTTATTAGGAATGTGTACATCGTTTTCTCTAGACTGTGTTGTCTGTGGGCAAAAGCATCTTTAAGGATCCCTGAGAAAATTTGAGATAATGGCCAAGTCCTGGGAAGACCAACTGTAATCTTTGTTGATAGGTAGCACCTGTCAAGATTCAGGAGGCCTCCCATGATCAAACCTGGTCCATTTCATTTCTGAAGGAATCTACAGCTTCTGGTCTCCTATGGGAACAAAAGCAAAACCTCTTCTCTGAAGCTTAAACAAATGTAACACATTTTAAAAACTATTCGACAAGACATATGGAATAATTATATTTATATAGAACCCCAGAAAATGCAAGTAGATGTATATTAAAAGTAATAGAGCAGTTGCTGGAGTAAGGAATGGGCAGAGAGGTAAATATCATAAAAAGAGGGAGAACTTTAGAGGGTGTGGCTATGCTTGTTGTATTTTCTGTGATGGTTTCTCTGTGTGGAGCAGATAGTAGATTCTCTGTTGTATGCACACCAAATCCATCAAATGTACATCTGAATCGTGCAGCTTACAGTATGGAAAGTATAACTCAAACTAAAAGACGCTGGTGGAGTAGGCAGCATGCGTTCAGCAAAAATGGACAGAATGATGCGAGGCGTTCATTGCGGGTTCAAGCAAAGCAGGCGTCAAATAAATGTCAGTGGAACTACTGTGAAGGGGGGTGAATAAATAGCAGATATTCCACACTTTTTGAATGAATGAGAGAATTTGAGTATGTATTGAGTATGCTTATTACATCCTGGACAGTATTCTAGGATCCCTGCTTTAGTTTAAGGGTAACGGTGCAGCTATACAGGTGCGAAAGAGGAGGTATGACAAAGCAGAAAAGAAGGGTAGAAGGAGTCTGGCATTGTAGTGTGGTCACCATCCTCCAAAGAGTGACCGAGAAGACAGCTGAAGATGGATTGTCTATTTGAATTAAAAGAAACTCTTGAGATGCTAAACAGAATGAACTTTGTGGAAGGAGTGTGAGGCTCACAGACGGAACGCCAGCCCAGCGTGCGCACGCGCAGAAACCGCTAGGCGGCGTCGGTTTCCCCTCTCATCAGCGGACCCCGGGGCGGGCGGTGGTGGCCTGAGCGCCTGCGCCTGCGTAGATCCAGCCGAGCCCGAAGGCCGAGGGGCGGGGCGTGGTGTTGCGGAGGCGTGGCCTAGAGGGCGGGGCTTTAGGTGATTTCCCAAGCCGCGGCTCAGGCGGTGCCGGGGAAACCGAAAGTGGGCGGCGGCCGCGTCGGGGACCCTGGCGGAGGCGGTGAAGGGAGCCGGTCCCAGAGGCTCGGGCGTGGGCCGAAGGCCCCCGGGACGAGGTGAGCTCAGGTCGGGGCGCGAC